AGCTTTCGCTGATTGTGGAAGTATATTATCGGCTCCTCAAACCCAGAAAAAAACTCCAAGGGAGTCAGATACTGCATTGCTTGTACAGAAATTAAAAGCCCGCATCACGAGTCTGCTTCAAGATCATCGCGTTGAAGGACGCTGGACTGCGGTTATCCTTGTGAAGGTAGTAATAGAAGCAGGCCAGTGGGAGATTCTTCGCGGTTCTGAGGCTTGGGTTCGGGCTCTACTAAGTATTCTAGCGGTGAGTTTCATTCGTTTTCTCGTCTCGTGCACCTAATCCTGTTCATCCCAACTCCTGCTAACCGCTGACACAGAGATCTGACCCACTGTCAACGAAAAAACTGTGCCTCATTACCTTGACTCGCATATTCCGACTAACTTATCCATACCAAACATTGGTGCGAGAAATAACGACACCGTCGCTGCCCACTTTCATTACATCTTGCTTGAATTTAGTTTCTGTGAAGCCAGTAGCCGGGCAAGCGAGGCAACTGAAACGGATTACTCCATTGCTTGAAACTGTGCTGCATGTGTTTCTCGAATTGCTTCCTCATCATCCTACCATATTTCGCCCGTTCTCTTCCCAAATCCACGGCTTGATTCTGCCCCTCGTGGGGTCGTTTGGCGTTCCTGGTTCATTGTCAAAATCTGGGGTACGCCTGGCGCAGCAGCTATTTATCGCGCTACATCAATGTGCTCCAAAGAATACCAGTGGAGAAGAATGGCTTAAGGCTTGCAGGGCTACAATATCGTCCATACATCAGACAAGCGATCACCTATTCCGAGCGGTTGTAGAACAGTGGGAGTCTGTTGATAACTCCTTACGCCAAGCATCTAGATCAAAGAATTACAATCGCCCAGTTGGAGATGATAGCCCCGACGCGCTAGGGTCTCCAACCTGGCAGGGTATATATGCTGGCACTGAGAAGTTAGAAAGTCTTCTAAAGCTGCTTACTGAATTCGTTGCAATGCCAACTAGCTCCACAATCTCGATGCCTTTAGGGTCCATACTTGATGTGTCCAATCGCTTAGTTTCGGTGACTTCCCCTTTATCAGATGATGACGCTTCACAGCGTGGGACAGAATTAAATCTCGAAGTTGGCCGGGAGGAACGGGAGTGCCTTTGGGCTGAGTTACCCAAACTTCACGTTGCGACCCTAGATCTGCTGCGCGCTGTCGTCGAAAGATTTGGTCTAGGGAGTATCTCAATTGCACAAAGCTGTCTTGATCAAACTCTTTGGACGTTTGAAGCTGAAAGCGGCAATGTCAACATACGGATTGGCGTTTACCAAATAATAAAGACTGTCATGCCTATCATTGGGCCGTCCATCACAAGACCTGGTGTAACATCCTTGGCATCAATCATCAGATCCGCGTGCCAGGACCTCCTGCCTTCCTCAGAAAACAAGGCTGTTGGCGTTAATCAGCATCTTAGTGCCAAGTCTGCCGCGAAGCCAAACCCGTCGACAAGCAATGTAGACTCTTTCCTGAATCTAAACCCAATAGCCACCATTGACGCGGAACATTCTTTCCCTGGGTTAAAAGGTGCGGCTGAGGATCTTCTTACAAGCCTCCTCACAGCCCTTCCGACGGAACACACACCACCGTATCTCCGGACCGAAATTGACCGAACGGCGATCATAACAAGGAGCAAATCTATCATGATGGCCAGCGTCCTCAACCCCGTCCCAGCAACGTCTAGTCGTTGCAATACCCCGAGCATTATCCCATTTCTTGCTCGATGTTACCCAGAAACGCCTGGAGTTGAATCACTTCTACGGCCAAGGATGCCCGTCCTAATAGGAGTCTCTCAATCAAGCGAATGGGAACTGGCGAATGAAGAAGACGAATCTAAACCGAAGTCAATGGCCGCTTTCGTATCGTCGTCAAATGTGGTACCTGAGGAACTCACTCGGCCAATAAACAAACGAGCTTTGGATGATATTCAAATGACTGATGAGCAAGCACTTCCACCAGCGGCATCTCATAATCTGATGACTTCACAGACTAAAAGAATACGTGTTGAAACGATGCAATCCTTCAATTCCTCGGCGACGACTCTTACGGGACAAATACCTGCTGTTCCCACAACAGAAAGGACCACGGACTTCGATAAACCAGCGCCAGCTATTCAATCAATCCTTAGACAAAATTCTCAAATTGCAGCAACCAGTACAGAGAAAATTGAGAGAAGGAGTGGCGGTGCAGATGACGCGAGACAGGAGGCTTCCATTTTACCTGTCAAGGATACCAGTGCAATTAAGAGTGGTGGTTCCGGGGAAGGTGATGACGGATCTGATGATGAGATTCCCACGCTGAATATTGAACCAGACACCGATGAAGACGAGGAGGAAGACGAATAATTACCTACGTATTTGATCAAACTTGGAAATCGCACAGCATCTCTCGATCGAACCACGTCATTTTATCTAATTATAAGTCATGTATTGTCTAATCTATAAAAATCTTGAAATAGGGTGGAATTAGGGGCAACTGGAGAAAAATAGCATACTTGGGATGGTTCTTCAACCCTATCTGCGAGTTTCCCCCAGGAGACTTAAGTAGCCAAAAAAATATTTGAAAAGCATGCTCGGGATACCGAAAAAGAATTCCTCCGCCTTTTCTATCGAGAGGTCGAAAGCTTAATTGAGGAAAATTCAGTCACGCCACGGAAAGGGGCCACCTCTCCCCTTTCCATTCATATCATGAGAGTATTTGAAACTGGCCAATATAAGTTGCGCATGTCTGGAAAATGTATATCCACAGCGAGCTTGTAGGTCTATTGACACATTCAACTCAGATTTCACATAATCCGTATCCCAACATCCCACCACTTCTCGCCTCTCCATTGCTTAAAGGCCTGCCCTTTCCAGCACCACCAGCCTTGACCCTCCGCACCAAACCCCAAACCACGAATGGGGCTGAGTGGAACCGGCTCAACCAACCATATTCCGCCTTTTGCGAAATCATCCGCACCCAAGGGTCCAATTAGAAACGCCCATGTCACAACGAAGATGAAATTTGTCGATCGACGGAGCCAACGCGGAGGGTTAAACGGGAGAAGGGTAACGATATTCTTGGCAACGAAGTCCTGAAACATGATTGCCGGGGCTTGAAGGAAGAAAAACAAGAAAAGGTTGGGGAAAGGTTTTGTTGGGGCGAGTTGCGTGTAGCTGCCGGCGGCGTGCAATAGGCCACTTAGACCAAACGCAATGTAAAGCTGGAGAGATTGTCTTACGAATGGCTTTTGGAGTCGCTGTGGAAGATGCGCGTAGATCCAATTGCTGGGCTGGAGGAAGTTGAAGCGGAAAACCTGGTGCCACCACTTGCTCCAGAAGCCGATGAGCCCGTGATCTAGAAGCGAGGAAAAGCAAGGTCCGAATATTTTTGGATATAACCATGGGGCTTCAATTGGAATGGATGTCCATGTGCGAGCGAAAGGGACCCATAATGAAATGCTAAGAGAAAGTAGAGAAATAGCCCAAGCCGTACATTCTACTGCACATATAACGCCCATCACTGAGAGGAGAAGTCGATAGGCTTGGGTAGTAATATTTCCGAACGTGCCGAAGGAGTCAAGAGGAAATGGGGGTGGGGAAGAAACAACGCCCCAGAAATAGGGATCGAGCATCATGATGACTTTTAGAGCGTCTAGGCCAAGATAACTCCATGTCATCTGGAATAGTGCGGACTTGGCGGCGGATTTGGTATTACTCAAGTTCATAATTTCGGGCTTCCTAACTCCACGTGAAAGCGGATCGAGGTGAGAAGAAACTGATTTTGGTAATAGGGGAATTGTAGAAATACGCCAATTCCAGCCAGGGCCCCGCATATTGACAATAAGGTCCTAGACCCATACCAAACGATGAGGAAATGTGTTTGGATACGCTTGCCACCGCAAAATATACATCTCGCTGCCTGCTTCAGGGCGATGGTTGCACTTGATTCCCGGTTGCAGGGCCTTCTTTGTAGTTCGTGACAATCGGAAATTTGTGTTTCCAATTTCTTTATCTTCAAGAGATCTGTTGGATATGGTCGCTAAAACGTGATTCTCAGAACAACTGGAGCAGTTTTCCCTATTGTGTGCAAATATTGTCGTTCGTTCAATGCGTTTGAAACGTCCTTGAGGATCGTTTAAAACTAGCAATGACGCACTCAACATTATATACCAGAAGGAAGCGATTCCGACAACACATCCATTCCCTCCAAGATACATTCGGGATTGGATGATGTTCAATAATCCTGAACAAATCACAGAGCCAAACGACAGGTATTTGATGATTGTAAAATGCCCATTCCGGGGGGTTTTCACAAGGAGTGAGAGAACAAGAATGATCAAGGGTGCAAAGCTATGGGGGAAGAGAACCGGCCGGATCCGCCCAGCAGCAATGGCTTCATCATACTTGTTCTGAAGTTGCCGAACCGCAACGAGGTACGATGGCGGAATAACAATTTCACCATGTTTCATTGTTATGTATAGACTAGGTAGGGTGGCGTAAAGGAATTCGTAGTTCCTTTGGTTTCGTATCCGACTACCGTTAGGAAGAGGGATGTAAAAGTAGCGGTTGTTGGCAAAAGCTTCCACGAGCTGAACAGAGCTTCGCTAAATAGCTCCAATCATGGTCAATGTTTCGACAGAGGCCAATTATTTAGGCAGTAGGGTCACCGAAAAACGAAAGAAAAAAGCCGCTCTATTTATTGGTTCGCTTGCCCCGACTCAGTATTGGAGTAGTTGCACCGAAAATTTACAGTGTCAAAACAGATTATCAGCTGGCCATTGTTGACATATTGATAGCTTCAACTTCTTCATCTTAGTGATGAGCAAAGATTTATATAATCACGCCATATCATGATAACTACCATTTTGCCTGGAGCAGGGAAAGCTATGGGGTCAAAATAAAGTTTTTAGGACCAGAATTAAGGTTATTCACGTGACATCGCGGCGTAGCGCGCTTTTATTTCAGGGGCTTCAACACGCGCCTTCGAGGGAAGGACAATTCTTCGCAAGCTGCGCGCAGACAAAAATTCAATCCACATCTCACCCACTTCCGCATAGAGACCTATTTTATTACTCATTAAACGATTTTATTGGCCCATCGCATTCCCTTAGCATTCCACGCACATTTGGCATCCAAGTAGGGGAGCTCGCCCGCTTTTGACATCACATTTTGATGTCGAGCGCAGATGGCTTCATCCCGAGATAAGCGGAAGATTGAGATTATCGATCTCACGGACTCCTGCGATCAACCACGCAAAGCAGCGAGATTTCCCAATTCTACTTCTGCCGGACACCGAAGCATCGAGTCCTCTCAGAATCATTCGTTTAGCCAGGGAAGGGGTACACAGGCAGATGAGGACGAAACGGGTGCCTCTGAGATTGTAGACGCCGCCCAAAGTTTGGATGAAGATGCTTTTACTAATTTCCAGCTATATGGTATTTACTATGTCTTGCCTTTTCATATCCTTTCCGTTCAATTACTAACTGTTCGCAGACACTCTCTCGTCAAAAGTCGTTGGCCTTAGATACTACAACGGGCACGCAACGGCTGGGGAATATGTAGCAATCAAAAGAGAGCCAAATAATCGTTATGATCCAAATGCTATCCGGGTTGATAATGTTATGGGGACTCAAATTGGACATCTTCCTCGCACTATTGCTAGCAAGTTAGCACCATACATGGTAAGTATACCTGGCAATCAAAGACATAGGGATTTGCTAAAAAAAAAAGCTCAGGACTCTAGATCGCTGCTCGTAGAAGGCATATTATCTGGTGACAAGGGTTTTTTTGATTGTCCCATCGAGCTTAAACTCTACGGAACTAGCCAGCCAGTTCAACAGGTAGAACTTATGAGGAAAATGGAGCGCGATCGCCTTCCTCTCAAAACCATCAAACACTTCCGAAGGGAAAGGGCGAAGCAATGTGCGGCGTACGCAAGAGAGGCTGCAAAGCAGGCCGGGAAACAAGCCCGCCCTCTAGCAAAAGGCAAAGGCCAACAGTGGCAAGCTTCTGAAAACCCAACCTATACAAATCTATATATTCCAAATGGAAATGAATCTCAGAAGGAAATAGCCTCCCTGGAAGATATCATCGGCCAAAGCACAAGCTTTAATCCTAGAGAGATGGGCCAAGTTGTGGAAAAGTTTGGAACAAACGAAGAGGAACTAGCGAGGATGCCCATGGCATCATGTCCGAAGGCTCTTTCCACAGAATTGCTTCCGTATCAACGTCAAGGTCTTGCATGGATGCTGGACAAAGAATCTCCAAAGTTCCCAAGTAAAGGGTCTCGAGACGTTGTCCAGCTTTGGAAGAGGTCTGGCAACATGTTTACAAACATCGCGACTAACTACACAACGGCAACGGAACCACCTCTTGCCAGCGGTGGCATTCTAGCGGATGATATGGGCCTCGGGAAAACAGTACAGATTATATCACTTATATTGGCTAATTCAGCCCCGAAAACAAAAGAATCATCGAAAACGACCCTTGTTATCTCACCTCTTGGCGTTATGAGCAATTGGCGAGATCAAATCGCACAACATATTCACAACGATCAGGCCCTCAGAGTTTTGATTTATCACGGAGTGGGTAAAAAGGAGGCAAAGAACCTCAATAACTATGATGTGGTTATTACTACGTATGGAGCTCTTGCTTCGGAATATGCTCCAATTGAGAACAAATTACCGAATTCCAAGCCCTCGCAAGGGTTATTCTCTTTACGTTGGCGCCGGGTCGTCCTAGACGAGGGCCATACGATTAGAAACCCTCGTACCCGAGGAGCGCGCGCAGCATGCAAGTTGGAAGCCGATTCTCGATGGTCGCTCACCGGAACACCCATCGTCAATAACCTAAAAGATTTATACTCACAAGTAAAATTTCTAGGAATTTCAGGAGGCCTCGAAGACCTGACAGTCTTCAATAGCGCTGTAATTCGTCCCCTTACTGCTTGTGATCCAAATGCGAACCTTCTTCTCCAGGCCTTGATGGGTACCATTTGTCTACGACGGAAGAAGGACATGAATTTCATCAATCTCCGTCTTCCACCACTTTCTTCCCATGTGCTTCACGTCAAATTTCTTCCACATGAACAGGAGAAATACGATATGTTTCAGTAAGTGCTTAGCATATCCAATCCAATTATCTTTTGTCCCAACACCAGCTAAGAAAGAGTCTAGGGCGGAAGCCAAGGGAGTCCTTTTGGACTATCAAGCCAATGCCAATAACAAGAATGGAGGTGCAACGTATTCTGTTCTCCTCGAAGTTCTACTCCGCATGCGCCAAGTGTGCAATCACTGGAAGCTTTGCCAAAACCGCATTAATAACCTTATGGAACTGCTAGAACAGCACAAAGTGGTAGCATTAACCCCTCAAAATATCAAAGCACTCCAAGCTCTTCTTCAACTTAAAATCGAAAGTCAAGAAATGTGCGCTATTTGCCTTGACACCCTCCGTCAGCCTGTCATTACTCCATGCGCTCACACGTTTGACTATTCTTGCATCGAACAAGCCATTGAGCGCCAACACAAATGCCCACTTTGCCGGGCAGAAATCGAAGACTGCAAAAGTCTAGTTGCCCCTGCGGCAGACCTTGGCGAAGATACAAATGAAATTGACATCGATCCCGAAACTACCAGCAGCAAGATTGAAGCTCTGCTGAAAATCCTCACAGCTAAGGGCCAAGCACCCAATACGAAAACTGTCGTCTTCAGCCAATGGGTGTCTTTTCTTGACATAGTCGAGCCCCAGCTGGCGCGTAATGGCATCACATTTGCCCGCATAGATGGCAGAATGAGCTCTGCCAAACGAGACGCAGCGATGAAGGCTCTATCAAACGACCCAAACTGCACCGTGCTTCTTGCTAGTTTAAACGTCTGCAGTGTCGGCCTTAACCTCGTCGCAGCAAACCAAGTCATCCTTGCCGACAGCTGGTGGGCTCCAGCTATTGAAGACCAGGCTGTTGACCGCGTATATCGTCTAGGACAAAAAAGACCAACGACTATATGGCGTCTTGTGATGGAGAACAGTATTGAAGATCGGGTCCTACACAAGCAGAAAGAGAAACGTACGCTGATGACGACGGCGTTCAGAGAGAAACTAGACCGAAAGGGTGAGGATCGGATGTCACGTATTGCCGATTTGGAGAAATTACTTCAGTAATAGTGCAGCTCCTTCTGTTGCACTAAATCCTTGCCCTGCTACTCTATATTTTCATCTCAAGAAATCGTTTCGACCTTGAACTCCCATCTACCTACAGCTCCTGCATATACTGTCTTCAATTTGTTGGGAAATTCTGTAACACAATCTTTACAATTTCTTTCATCCTTCCTTTCTTTTCCGTAATTTAATACCTACTTGCTACTCTCTCTTTCCATTTCCATTTGTTACCTTCAAATATTCCTTTTAATCATGTTTGCAGTTTTTACTCTTGCCAACCACACTCGCCTTGATGGGAACCAGATGTGGACTTCTTGGCAAAGACTGTTTTAAACCGCTTTTCCATTCGTTACAGCCATTTTAGTTGCATCCAATTCCAATCCACTTGCTCGAAAAACAATTTTTGTGATAACCAGCGCGCTATCCACTAATGAGCTCAGTCTTCGGTCACCAGGGTTTCTATGCAGGTCCTCACCAGAAGGTCTCTCAGTGGCCGTCTCATAACTTAACAAAACTATGCGGTAACGTAAACCGTGCCCGCTCTCTGTGAAGAGGACTCCTCCGGCCCCCATTGCTTGTATTGCGGTGTCCTGGCGAGCTAGGGCGATTCAAACGAATAATTACTTATTAATTGGTGGTCCGAGCCAGTCGTTGAGTCTAGAATCCGCCCCAGGTCTTAAAAATTCAAATCCTCGGTGACTTTTCTGGTGATCTTCTGTAGGGGATCTTGTAACCCCGGGTTAGAAGCCCCTAGAAGCCAAAAGTATATCCTTGTATGTATATATGTGTACCTTCCGCAGGAAGGTTTAGCCAAACAGTCTATCACTGTTGTCTTGGACTAGGGAGGACTCGGTTTCCGGCGATGGTTTCTTGTGCCAGCTACTATTTTGAGCCACCTCTGAAATTGCTTGGTGGAGAGGTATACTCCCAATAACCTACTTCTCTGAATATTCTAGATTCTTTTCTGCATTGTCTGTTGCTAAAGAGAAAAGCTAGTGCAGAGAAGTGACCTCAATTCCAGCCATGACATCTCTAACCAACTCTCGCAAATGTAGTCTGCCAGTGGCCACCTTGCTATGGTTACTGCTCAGCGCCTCCTTAGCCACAAGGATCCAAAGTTCTCCCAATTCAAACTCAAAGGGCTGGCTCTTCATTTCGGCGTTTTCGACGTTTCATGGACTCCTTCTATGTTCAATTTGAAACAAGATCCTCCCCTCGTCATCGGCCTTCAATTCATGGATAAATGCAGGGTACGTAATTCCCGCAAACCAGCTTCTTCGCATATGACGAACCAAGGGACGTCCGGATAGAAAGAAGAAAAGACACATAAAAAGAAGAAAGAAAATACAGATAGAACAGTAGTATACTTACCAACAAAACCTCCTTTGCACAATACAGGAAGCCAGTTCCCTGATCCCGTCACAAACTTCAAAGACCCTTCCATTTCCCCTCTCTACTTCAATTTCTTTGACCTACCAGCCAAGACAAAGCAACCTCCGACCTTCTTCACCTATGGAACAGAAGATGTACTCTTCGACGACACGATCTTCATGAGCGCCAAATGTCAGATGGCTGGTGGGGAAGCCATCGTCAAAATCGCCCCCCGGCGCGCCGCATGGTTATTTCGATATGCCAAAGGGGATGTACCCCGGCACAGAAGAAGTAAGGAAGGAGATGTATCAATTTTTTATGGAGAGGATGTGAGTTAGTCACTTAACAGGGCCACAAAATTATTCCGCTGTAGGGAGGGATGTGTTTTGCCTGCCAGAGTGAGATTTAATATCAAGGCAAAATAGAGAACTAAAAAAATCCGATGAGATATAACCCTTTTATGCCCACAGACGTGTGGTTGTGTGAACTTTACATCCAAGTACGGCAAGTTGATTCTTCAGTCCGATTCTAGAATGCAAGCCTGCAACAGATTTATGCCGCATTGATTTATTGAGGAGATACATGCCCAACCCATTGAACTTCCTTAGAAGAGAAAAATGACACTAGAGAATAACGGTACTAAATAAACGTCAATTCCCCAATTCCCATCCCAATTCCTTTTCCCATTCCCGCTAGAAAGATGCAACCGCCCACACGCATGCACATGGGCCAGGAAAAAAAAAAAAAAACCACAAAAGGAGATTTCATGTAGAGCATCAAGGCACAAAGAAGAATAACCCGAACTTGGGCTAATTCCGAGGAAATAATAATACACAAGGGTGGGGTAGTAATGAAAAGGACAAAAAGAAGAAAAAGACAAAGAAACATGAAAAGGGAAAACAACAAAAGGAAAAACAACAAAAGGAAAAAGAAAGGACATATAGGAGAGCGTGAGAAAAGTTAAGGGCAATGTTCCGGATGGCGCTCTTTATCATCCGGCCGGGTACATGAGTGCTGTCTCTATGATGTAGGATTGAAAGATAAACCGATAGTCTTCCTGGGCCATTTTATTGGGTATCGAAGTTCTTCTATCAAATTCATCGCGATGTAGCCCGGTAGAGTTTGGCAGAGTTGTTGAATTTCAGTTGACATGTGAAGTATATCTAGAGAGCTATACTGGACAAGGACAGAGGAGGGGATGGAGATTTAGCGTGAGGAAAGGAAAAAGGAACAAGAAAATAGTTGCGATAGAAAACACAGTGAAAAGCTACAAAACAAATGTTTATTGCTGACGGCAGCCTGACGTACTGGTTTTAGATTGAGGTGTATTCGTTTCTTTTTCCAAGGCAGAACCAGCACGTGTCTTATCATACATCTCCTGGTCGGCTGCCGGAGGTCTATACCCATTATCGGGCTCCGTTTGGGGTCCATTGCCTTTCTCAGTATTATTAAGACTTGTTTGGCTATTGAGTGGTCTTGCACCATTGAAGATATTTCCGGTTGGTGAGGGCGGAATGGAAGATATATTTGTGCCACCACCGAACAGTAATGGGCCGTTGGAGGTGGCTCCAGCCAGTGCAGGCGGTGTGGAGGTCATGGTTCCGTCGATCTCAGGGCGGAACGATGACAATACGCCGGGCTCATTCGTGAGCCTTGGCTGGTTTACTTGTCTAAATAGGCTTGTGTCAGGTGTCAATGCAGGTGGGCCCATGACCGGACTTGTCATTGGCAGCCTAGAAGCTGCAGAGAGAGGCTCAAAATTAGGCGTCGTATAGCTTGAAGGGTATGGAGTGCTACCCATTACTGACGGAGGATGAGGAAAGGCTGATCGTCGCGCCGCCGCCTGCAATTCTTGCTTTTTCTGCCAAGCACCTGGATCGTTCCGTTTGAGCCTTTCGTCATCAAGCTCTTCCTGGACTGCTTTTTCCTCCTCGGGAGTCAGTTTGTCGTTATCCTCACGCTGGAATGTTTCTGTGAGCGCAATCTTCCTGATATTGTCCTGCTCTGCTAGAATCTTATCAAGAACTGCTGGGTCCTTCCCCTTAAATTCCGAAAGATCCTTTTGCGGAACAGTCTTTGGCTTAAAGAGGTAGTCCCTAACATTCTTGGACGCCCAGCGGATGGGGTTCTTCTTGTCAACAACCCGGAAGGCAAGTTGGGTTTTGAAAACAGCTCTATTATGCATAATATCCTCATATGTCCCGCCTGCAAGAAAGCGATAAACGTATACTGGTTTAAGTTGGCCTAACCTGTACGCTCGCCCAACAGCTTGCTCTTCCCATGTCGGATTGAACTGGAAGTCGAAAATAATCACGCGATTTGCTCCTGGGATATTAAGACCTAGTCCTCCCGCTCTTGTAGAGATCAGATAAACCTGAGTATTGGAATCTGAGTTGAAGTTCTTCGTAGCTACCTGGCGTGTGGCAACGGGTGTTTTCCCGTCAAGTCGAGAGTAGGTTCGTCCTGCTTGCCTTAAGACCTGTTCAAGATAATTGAGCGTCGGAATTGAATGAGAAAACAACAGCACCTTGTCCCCGGCCGCGATCGAGCGTTCAATTATTTGATCCGCAACTAGCGCTCGGTGAGACAACTCGAGTGACCACATATCCATGTCAGTGGTGAAAATCTTCTCTAGTCCAGAGAGAATCTCGGAAGACAGGAGAACGTGAGGGATTGAAGGGTCCTCTGGTATTTCAGAATCGGTATCAGGAGAGGCGCGGCTTGACGGGGGCTTTTGTGGACCTTTGCTTCGATCTCGGAGCTTCTCCATGAAACAACCAGGATGATTGCAAAGCAGGGACAAGATAGACAACCAATCCCATAGTCTTGGATTCCCAACACTGTCATAAGCTCCAAGGGCAGCAATATAAGCATTGTATGCTTGCTCCTGAAGCGGGGTTAACGGAACAGTGATCACAAACTCAACTTTTTGGGGAAGAGACCCTTTTAGGACTGAAATGTCCGCTCGATTAAGTTTTGGATCGATATCTTTTTTTAGAACTTGCAGCTTCTTCAAGGACTGTCGGCGTTCCCACTGCGAGCTATCTGCATAGAGCCCTTCTTGAATCGGTTCAATATACTTGGCTTTGAACTGTACGAAGTCTCCAAGATACCCTGGGGCGATCCAGTCAATCATTGCGTAGTACTCACTCAAATTGTTAGCAAGAGGAGACCCTGTCAATGCAATGCGACTCTTTGACACGAACGCCCGACATGCTTCGGCAACCCCTGCATTTCGATTTTTCAACTTGTGAGCTTCGTCCGCGACAATAATGCGCGGTCCCTCTAGGAGGTGTTTCCTAACTTTTTCATGAGCCCGGCTGTCAAGTGCTGGCGGTCGATTTTTTGTTGCTTTGTTAAGAACCAATGCTCTGAAAATATCATAACTCATCAGCAAAATGCCACCCTTCTTGTACCAGGACGATATACCCTCTAGACGCTCCTCAATTTGAAGTGTGGGTAAAATTTTGTGAAATGGTCCAATATTGCGGCTTGTCGTAGGGTCATTGGGCGTCCATATGCAAAGCTCCTCCCACCAATTTTCAATCAATGATGACGGACACAGTACGAGTGTGCGAGAAAGTTGAAGTTCTTTGGGAATCTGGTTCCTCACTGCAGGGTCATCAGAAGCCGCGGCATTTGCAATGCTCACCAAAAGCGATATCCTGCTATATGTTAGCTAACATTCACCAGAAAAACAAAGCCATACTTACACCTGCATCGTCTTCCCCAGTCCCATTGTGTGAGCCAAAAGGCAGCCTTGACGTTTCTCATCCTTGATCAATTCTCGCCACATGAACTGAATTCCACTTAACTGGTGGGGTTTCACCCGGGCACCGATGTAACTGTGAAGGTATATAACTGGGTCATCAAAACTAATAGCCTGCCGTTCTGGATCTGTGTTGCTTATACCTGTTCCCCCTAGCTCGCGAGCAAGCCGTTTCCGTTGGGCTTCCTGTTGTTTAACGCGACGCTGAGCTTTTCTCTGAATGTCCATGGCTTCTTGACTTTCCTTGACAGCTCTTTTTCGCTTCCTATGTGGAGTATGACGTGATTCAACTTCAGAGCCATTAGAAAGTTCTTGAAAATCCTGCTCCTGAGTTTGCTCAGTTGCGGGCACCTGTATGGAGGCGGAATGTTCAGGCTTATTCCTTTTGTTTGAGGAAACATCCTGTAGTTGCCCGGCAGCGGCGTTTGTTACTGGAACCTTCTCGTCTAAAAAAGCTTTGAGAACCTCACAGAGTCTAGGGTGGAAATCATCGTAACTAGTTTTATCTGTGAGTGTATCCTCAATAAATGCTTTTGGGATGCCTTGCATGGCCGATAGTCTTTTGCAGCGAAGCCAGGAAACATAGAGCGCAGCAATCCTCAAGAATAGGGTGTGTCTGTGACCACTTTGGATTTGGTGGGAGTGTTGTAACACACTGCGTAGAGCTTTCCGGACTCGCTTTTTGGCTCGTTCTAACGTGACTGAATTGATTAATTGGTGCAATTCGTGACGCTCTTCCTGAAACATGGACCAAACTAGTTTGTTCAACAACTGGTCACGATCTGAACGCTCCTCAAGCATTGACCAATCTACCCGCGCTGTTTCTGCCAAAACCTTCGAAGTCGATGTTTCTTGACTCTTCTTCCCTGTCTGGGTGAAGTCGTTAAGCAGTCGCGATCGGGGTGAAGGAGGCGGAAGAATAGAATCATTAACAGGATTAAGTGGCGGCGTTTTAACATCGAACTGGTGGTTGGATACCTCATCTGAGCTCCTGGTTAAATCTACAATCTCAACGGGCCCTTTATGATATTGTTGTATTTGTCGTAATTGCGCCGGTGAGGTTGAGGTTTTTGTCCGAACATGGTCGGGGGAATGCTGTCGAGCAGACATGGGTTCTGAAGGGCGAAAGCTTTTATAGCGTCGTGTTCGCAAAAATTTGGGCGTGACAATATCGTCTTCACTCTCTAGTTCATTTCTAGACGGGGTCGGAGCTTGTGCAGAAGGCTGTCTGTTATCCTCAGTCCGGTCCAAAAGAGGTACATCTTCGTCCGGCACAATGAAATCATTGATATCCTCGATATCTTCATCATCGTCTTCAGAGCTTAGCCACTCCTCGTCCTCGGGTATAGAAGGCTTTGGGCGCTTTACAGGAGTGGCCGCTGGTGGAGGCTTTGGGGGACATGTGTCAAGTTCTAGAATGGATATTGTCCACTTTTGTACTTCCCGATTGAAGACAGTCTCCTCCATTGACTGACATTGCTGCTGTACTTCGCTCGCCTTTGACCATGGAGTATCTTTTATGGCCTTTCGAAGCGCTTTCAAACGCCGGTCTAAATGAGCAATAGTGCTCTGCGCGGACTTAGTTTGAGTATGTTTTGTATTCCACTTTCTAGAAGACAACCAGAGGCGTTGCGCTTTACGATGCTGAGTTGGGAGCTTATGGTCCCGCCACTTCTGTAAAAATTGCTCGACACATCTGTCGATAATGCTGTCAACTTCTGGGCCAGATAGTCTTTTTGACTTTTCCCGTTCCATTTCTACCTCCTGTTTTTCAAGCTCTATCTCCTGCCAGGTTTCGGAATCATAGTCGTTTTCTGAGCCAGAATCCCCGTAAGGTGGTAAGCCTTGATCCTCATCAGCTGGGTACTTGTCGAGCAGATAGTCGTATACATCTCGTTCCTGTTTGAGTTGAGGCCAGGATATGGTGTCCTCCTTCGAGACCTTAACAACTCCCTTGTCTTGTGTAAAAAGTGTGAAATATTGCAGCTCACCCGAGGGCAGAATTTTAGAGCTATATGGAAATATGGCAATAGCGTCCTTTCCCTCTTTAGTTTGTATTGAGCGGGGTTCCTGCAGAAAGTAGTGCTGAACACGTTTATTCACAAAGCGCTTTTGGCCAATTGAGCATTTCGCTCCCGTCAATACAAAGGTTTCGTCGTCACTATCTTCCATGTCGTTGTAAAAGAGATCTGGAAGTGTCACCTTCCCAGGTCCCATATACTGATAGGATTGTTTAATCCCAAAGTTCTCCTCCTGGGTCCCAGTGATAGGAGCCTGAGGTTTACTCAGGATTAATTTGCGGCGTTTTCTCCCACTATTATCAACGACATAATGTTCTTTTGGCCGATTGTTCAATGAAGTACTGCCAGTAAATAAAGGCGCTTTCTCCTGCTGTTCTGCCTCCGATGCTTTGTTGGTGTTCTCGAGAACATCCGCCGCCCTACTTTGCGTTGAGGGCGCAGCTACAGCAGAAGGAATGGAATGAGACTGCGAGGGGGAGTTGGGAAGTGCACTTGGGGTCTCCGGGAGAAGGTTCAATCTGGGGGCGGTTTGGGGCGTGGCTGTGACAGAGTGAGAATGATCAACCTTATGGGACTGACTATACTCTGCATATTTTCGCGACAGCTTCTGTAGATATTCGACGGCTCGAAATATTGTAGCGCGCTGACCAAGCGATTTCAAACCTAAATCTTGAGCCAGCGTCGTCTTGTTTATCTCTGTAAGTAGTATTTCTCCCGTGACATCATTTTCGCGGAGGGTTGTTTCGAGTGTTGTGAGGTCCAGGCGAGGGAGAGAAGAACGAGTCCACGGCGCAGAAGACAGGCAGAGGTTAGCGATAACCTGATCAATTGACCAGTCAAAAGGATCATCATCTTTAAAACCTTCCATGGCGCACTCCTGGTCTCAGGATAACCGTATTATATCCACCACCCTGAGTACTGGGCAAAGTCGAAGGAAACTATTCGAGTGGTGAAACGAGGAGTAGCGTGACGAACTAACTCCAACCAAAATGAGTGCTAGTTACTCCCTGGGTCTTGAACTAGCATAAACAGTAGTTATGCCGTTCGGAGCCGGAAAGAGAAGTTTGCTAGAGTGACACTCAAGGCAAACACGCGCGATGTCAATCCTACGCGCCTAATTCCAAGCACTGCAGTCTTGCTTCAGATGTCAAGATCGACAGTGAAATTTTGCAAAAGAATGTTGCTGAAAGTAGCTAGTAGCTGGCCATCGCTCGTGTCTCCTTCACACAGCACCTTGGAGCAGCGAGCGTGACAAGATCTACCAAAGGGAACTTTTGAAGCTGCAAAGTTGCGCCGATGTTGATGTGAGTGTCAGGTCACGTGATCTGGCTTACTAATCCTTCCACCATATAACTTTCCACAAAGCTAGCAACCTTTCAATCACACAAGCTTTACACCTTCCACAGGTTATGAGACCTGTTTTGCGCAAAATCGCTGCCAATTCAGGATTTCTTGTCAATATAATCATTATTTGAACTACTGCTTCATTTGATACACTCTTCAGGAGTTAAAATTGTCTTATTCTATTAGTATTGATTAGACTGGCTGCTGGGATCATGAATTTCACATTTGATTTCATTTGATCTGATCTCATACATTTCTTAGTGTGAATCCCGCTGGGACTAGTCATTAAAAAAACATGCAAAGTGACTATATATGAGATCTTAAAATGAAACCATGACTTGAAAAAAATGAGAAAGTAATCTTATTTAATCTCATTTAGTCTCATTCTTAGCATAAAGTTACTATTTTTAGACATTTTAAGGTTTTTTTTAGCCTATTTTTAATTTTTTAAAAAGTAATGCTTTTTGATAATGCTTAAATAAGATTTAAAGTCATTTAAAGTAATAAAAATAATTTAAATTGAGAAGTGAAAATCATGATTTTATTTGAAAAATGTGATAAGAGTAGATAGTAAGTCTTACTGAGACAGTATGAGACTACTATCTAATGTTAAAACCATGTAATAAAATCAGTTGAATTGATAATAAGACTATTAAAAAATCTGGTTCTGATCTCAGACATGATTATACAGTCAGTCTAGTATTAATGTGTTTGAGATCTTGATAATTAATAATACTACTACTCACTTAAAAAAGAGACTTGCAGAAAACATATCATATTTGTAAAAAAGTAAGAAAAAGAGAATAATATTGACAAGAATTCAATAAATAAATATTAAGATGATGAATTCAACACAATCTCATTTATATATACATTTATAATCTCATATTCTTTTCACTGAGTCAGTTGCAGTTAATGATAATAATTCTTTATACTTATACTCTGTCAGTGAACATTCTTCTGAAGCTTTTGAAAGCTTCATTGATAAATACTCTGAAACACTCTCTCTGTGACGGGCTGCGCCTGATCAATTATATAGACTATTCTGTTACACTTCATAGATTCTTTCATTTCACTATTAAACACATACACTTCAATTCTCAGTCATTCTCAATTGCTGATTCTCAGCTGCTATGAACATATATAGATTCTTTCACTCCGGAGCTCTACTGCATACATCATCACATACATGTATAGATATTCATCTCAATCACTGATTTCTACACTTTCTCTTTCTTTTTCTTCTTTAACATTTTTCTCTTTATTATATAAGATCTATCAATATTATACTGATCTATTCAGTGTAGACCTCTTACACTAGAAAAATGTTTATTATCTTCTTATTAGAAAATGATTATTTATGTATTATCTTCTCATCAGAAACAATTATTTATCAAGAGATATCTGAATGTGTAACAATGTGTAAGAAATAGAGAAACAGTTAAATAGTTAAGTGAATATTAAGTTCTCAGATAGAAGCTTGCTTATCAGTCACTCTAATCTCACAATAAGATTCTATAAAGAGAATGTCAGTGAAAGACTTGAGAGTTCTGACACTCAGATATATAAGATATTCATATAATTACACTTCTTCAGATTTCACAGATATCATATATCTAATAAACAATATAATCATGTCTAACAATAATATGAGAGAATTCTCAAACATAAGCATAGACACAGTGTCACAGTGACTCTGAGCAATGTTGAAACTATAATAATAATAAATAACTGATATGCATGCAACTTAACAAGATTAATATAAAGAGATTCAATAATTAACTTATACAATTTCAACATCTACAGAATTAAATACAAAAGTACTGAAAGAATGCTTAGATGCTTCTGTATATTTTAATACTTTCAATCTCACTCTCTACTCATCATGAAGAATGAAAATACTTGTAAAACTGAGTGTAGATGAAGATGTTATCAGTTCATTAATTAATCAAGATTAGTATATTAATGAATGATTGAAAGATCACATAAAACAGAAGTTTCATTTATAAATAAAAGCATGTAAATCAGTGTTGTGAATATCTGATAATATTATGAAATATCTTGATATTCTGTTCTGAGACACTGTCATGTAACAGAAAGTATTAGATTGATTACAGAGTATCTGACAGAGAAATACTTCTCTTACAACATTCATCTCTGACTTCAACATCAAGATTCTAGAAGTAGATGATTAATCTTAAGAGAATTAAATGAAGATTAACATGCTTAAGAAGACATTAACTTTTAAACTCTTACAGACTCTTGTAAGTATAGACAAAGACTAGACTTATAAAGACTTCTGCACACAGCTCTGAATAATGAATAATCATCTTATCAAGCTCAAGAGTATACAGAACAGTGACAGAAGACATTATATCTCAGTAACTTATTCACTTATGCTGAGAAATAACAATGATGCAGATATTATGAATTGAGTAAACTTGAATATCTATATATAAGCAAGAGTTTTCACTATCTGAACAGGCTTCTGAATCTCTGAGATCACTTCTGAAGAAGTCACTGATTAACATCAATATGAAGTATGTATTAACTGTAACTGATTAGAATACATTACTTTCAACTGCTAATTAATCTATATATCTTCACACTTAAGAGAAAGACTGACATCTTCTCAATTAAGAGAAAGATCAGTGTCTTCTCATTCAAAGAATAAATCAGTGCCTGTCTGCATCAATCACATTACAGTGAAGAAAGATTCAGAAGATAACTACAAGAATGTCTTAATGAAACAGGGAAAAGATTAGCTTCTATTCAAATTTGCAAATAGAAGCTTAAAGAGGTCAGATAACAACAATTTGAAGAGAAAATAACAATAAATGTGATTCTTGTATCTACTGTGATTGATAACATGTATAATATGAAAGCCATGATAGACAGCAGTCTATGTTACTATATAATGATAAAATCTTCAGTTGTAAGATATTATAACCTTCAGTGTATTCTCTTATCAAGACCTTAACTCCTTGCAGGATTTGATGATTTAAAAGACATTTATACTCATTACATGATGAAGCTGACTATAAATGTGAGAGAATATCAATGTGAAGATGTCTATGTATATAAAGTTGATAATCTTGATTACAATCTTATGTTAGAACTTGCCTGACTATCTGAACAAGGCATTTTATTGAATACTTGAAACAGAAGCTTGATATTCTCTAACAATGATAGAGTTCATAAGAATGACATTTATAAGACTATGAATCTGACATAGATCTTTGTTAACATCTATAAAATGCTCAGAAAAAGAAGTCACTGAAAGAATCATTGATAGCAGAATCATGTATCAATCTATTTCATCAGTCTGACTGATATTAAAAAGACTCTAGAAAAGTTATTCTGTATTATAATAACAGATTCTTGTACAAAACTCTCTTAATAATATCATGAATATCTAGATGTCTTCTAATAAGACAATAATGCTACAAATCTACCTCTCTTACAAGGTTCAGAAGTGAATCACAGTATCAAGTTGAAAAAGAAGAACAGTAAGAACTCTGAATCATCATGAGACTCTCTTTATAATATATCTTGAGATGAACTTCTTCTTCTCTGAAAGACACTCAATGATCTGTTAGATAAGAGATTTATATATATTAGCAACTCTTTCACTGCAGCTTCTATTCTCTTTGCAAAGAAGTCAGATACAGAACTCTGATTCTGTGTGAACTATCAAGATCTGAACAGATTGATAAAGAAAGATTGATATTTCTTATCTCTCATCAATGAAACTCTAGCATGAATCAAGTGAGCTCAATGATTTACAAAGCTAAATATTATCATCACATTTCATAAGATTCATATCACTGAAGAAGATGAATAGCTTATAATATTTCAAACATATTATAATCTCTTTGAATGAATAGTCACACTCTTTGAACTGACTAATGTCTTCAGTACATTTCAGAAGTATATCAACTGAGCACTCTGAGATTTTCTTGATAAGTTTGTATCTACTTATCTAGATGACATTCTCATCTTCACTAATGAATTCAGAAAAGAATATCAAGAACATGTGCAAAGAGTATTATAATAACTATAAGAAGCAGAACTATTAATTAATATTAACAAGTGCAATTTCAAAGTTAAGAGTACTAAATACTTAGATTTCATCATAGAAGCTGATAAGAGAATTTGAATGAATTCTGAGAAGATCTCTGTCATTCTTGAATGAGAAGCTTTATATACTGTGAAAGATGTACAAAGCTTCATTGAATTCACTAACTTCTATCAGTAATTTATATAAAACTTCTCAGATATCATGAGATCACTTACAGATCTCACTAAGAAGAACTCAGTATTTCAATAATCAGTGAACACTGAAGCTGCATTTATATAGATGAAGAAGATATTTATTAATATCTCTCTACTGATAATATTCAATTCTGATCATGAGACAGTTGTTAAGACTGATTTCTCTGACTATATAATAGAAGAAGTGATATTATAATATAATAATGAAGATATTCTATAATCATATGTCTTCATGTTTAAGAAACTAAGTCCTGCTGAATACAATTATGAGATCTATGATAAGAAACTTCTTACAATTATATACTATTTAGAAGAATGAAACTCTGAACTTCAAAGTATCTCTGAATTTGAGATAATCATAGATTATAAGAATCTCAAATACTTTATAACTATCTGTAAACTCACTGAATAATAGATATAATAATCTGAGTTCTTAAGCTGCTTTCATTTTATAATACACTACTATTCTAGCAGTCAGAACTTAATGACAGATACTCTCTTATAATAAGAGTAAGATATGTTATCTGATGTAACAGATACTCACTGAATGAACTGAGAGCATCAGCTCTTGAATCTGAAGATACTAGTTAATCAAGATAAAACAGTTCATGACACTATACATACTTCTTCAGTTAGAACTGCTATTAATATCTTCACTTTCTCTACACTGAATAA